TTCACATACAGACCCAACTGCATTCACGCATTATCTGCTCGCCACTGTGCCGATGGAGGGGTGGGTGAAGTGTTTGAGTCCACAGAACACTTTGGGATTTTCAGGGCTAAACAGTGTTGCAGCAAAATCCAATATAATTGAAGTAACTGGCGAACACTTCTTCAGATATAAAAAAACAAAAGAAGAAAATCATAAAAAGCCCACGGTAAGTAGTGAACATGAACGCAGCTTGGAGGCGTTTTACATTATTCTTCTGTAGGTTGCAAGTTTCTTCACTTGTATTGGATTTGGCTGCAACACTGTTTACCCCTGAGACTGCTTCACCCACCCCTCCATCGTCATAGTGGTGAGAAGATAATGAGTGAATTTTCATTTTTCGGTGAACTATCCCTTTAAGGGCATTGACAGTTTGCTCCATTTTCTCTTTTCATGAGCTGAAGCGTGGCACTATCTGGATCTTCATGAAAAATGTATGATTGTCAGAGATATACCGCGTTTAACGACCGCCACAGCTGATCTGTCACCGCCGGCAATTGTTTGGAAAGTCCAACATTTTTTCCAGTTCTCAGGAACCAGGAGGCAAAACATATCTTTAGACAGTTGATTTAGTTGTTGTTGTCATCGGCTTCTTTTAATTTTTGACTCTGAAAAACACAGACAACACCCCAACAGCTGTTGCTGTGAGATAAATGCAAGATGGATGCATGTTGGGAGCCGTCTGTGAGAGCCACCACTGTACCTCACTGCATGCTAATGAGCTGAGAAGTGAGGTGCCCTGCAGAGAGCCTAATGTTCTCCTCCAGATGGTCATACACAGGGACACATCACCTCCGCTCCTCATTTACTTTCCTCCAGTTCCACATTTACACTCCCTGATTGTCAGAAAGATTTATGTGTGAGAATGCTGAGGCTTACAACTTGGAACCTTTTTACTCTTTCTCCCTCTCTGCTCTCTTCTCTGCGGGGGCTTCATATGTGAGGTTACCAACACCACCGCAGGCCCAGCGGGGTCTCTTGGTACTCACCATGCCAGCACCACAGGGGAGCAGAGTGGCTTGCTGAGTTCCACACTTTAGTGCAGGCATCCCAGCGAACACTGTGGGCTTGCCCCAGGAATGCCTTCTGACCACAGCCTCAGTCACTGGCACTAACAGGGAGCAGGAGAGGGAGAGTGGAGAAGGAAATGCAGTTATCAAGTTGGATGAAACAGAGGTGACACACACACACACTCACACACTCACTGTAACTTAAAGCTACACGACGGCTCCAGTGGCACAAGTGCATTGAAGTTGAGTTGCATTTGTAATACCACACCACTGGAAGTGTCACATGAGTTGAAAGCTAATGAGTGTTATGACCGCAGTACCCTCAGGCCGGGGGTGCATGAGGGATTGTTTTTCTTGAGTCCCAGTTCCACATCACTTTATGCAGCAGCAGCAGCAGCAGCAGCAGCAGGGAGGTAGACGAGGTACGGACCGGCTTGTTAGCTGCGTGAGTGAGCGTGCGAGTTGCTGGAGGAGATGCAGGCCTGTGTGCGTAAACTCTATCTGGTGCGTGTGAGTGTACACCTGTAATCAAGTGGACCCATCACGATCAAATGAGACAGGGAGGCAGGGAGACATTGTCCTGGTTGGATCCATGTAAGCCCCACTGATGAGCCCGCATCATTCAAAGTATCAATCATCATCATCATACAACAAAATGCTATAACAGCACACACCGGCCCACACAGAGGAGAGAGATAATACCCGTATATTTTAAGTAAACTCTTGATGACACAGAACTGGGCCGGGCAAGCTTAAACCCCAGCACACTCAGCAGTGGCTCTGTGCCACTCTGTCTCCACTAATCCTCCATGATCAAGTCATATCTGGAGAAAGGGCCGAGGCGCTCGGCGGCCTCTTTCAGACAGACAATGTGCACTGTAAGTAGGTAAGTACAGAACAGGACCAGGACGATGGGGAAGTCCCATGAGCTCACTGTCTAGCCTGATTGTGCTGCAGCTACGCCTACCTGCTCCACCAACTAACAGCAGGGAGTGTCTCTGGGGAGCTTTGTAGATGTGTCGTAAAATATTACAAAACCTAAAATATTTTGGGAGTGAAAGACCAAATTTAAGATCCCATTCAAACCATGTCAGGCTCTCAAAGCCAATCACGAGTTATGGTTGTGTTTAAGGGTCGTTGTGACACTCGTTTGAGTAAAACCTTCCAAAATATCGCCCACGTTCAGCTCTTACATTCTTTGCTAATACTCCGACCTGATTCATTTCCTCTGGAGGGAACAAGACAAAGTGATTCTGTTTGGAAAGATAAAAAAATGCAACTGAGCTCTCGGAATCACTCTGGTTCAGGCCCATGGTCTGTCTGACCGCATAATCAGTATGAGAAATAAATAATGACTTGTTCTATCCTCAGACAAAACGAGTATCTGTAAATAAACTTAAGACATGAAGAAGCAGCAGGTCCTGTGCTTAAGTTTCATGAGACAATTCAGGGATCAACAGCAGAACCAAATTCTTTTTAATTACTGAACCAAAATTCATTATTGCAGAAATCCCAGATTCTTTCCACATTTTTGACCGACCGCACTTCTTGGCAGTGACGGGCAGATAAAATGGAAACTGCGTCGAAGTCATTTATTTGGGTTCAATTTTTCTGTTTAGCATTTTTGGCACCGAAGGACTCAATCTGCAAAGTTATGTCCCTTTGGCTGAATTCACAGGAAACGGACTTGTTACTCTTTCCCCACTTTTGTTTGGATGATAATAAAAATATTATACTGCTGTTTATTATGAAATATGAATTTTTAAATTCCTGTCTGGTCTGAACCTTGTGACGTTGATGCAGCATCATGAACCGAGGTTGGAAGAGTTCACTTTGATTCATAAAGGTCATGTCTATGTTCTCCAAAATGTCAAACTCTTGTCACTGTGCGTTTTTGTATATAAAGATGTTAACTCTAAGTGTGAGCATGTACATTTATAAAGCTGAAGAAAGTCCTTTATTGAGCACATGAAGACAAAGTGCAGGTTTTTCTCTTTCTTTTAAAATGTCTGGCAAATAAAATGTAAACTGATTCAAGGTTTAATTGTGATTTGCTTTGTTTTGTTTAGCATTTTTGTCTCCAAAGGACTCGATCCAAAGTTATGTCCCTTTGGCTGAATTCACAGGAAACTGACTCTCTCCCAGTGTTTGTGTGGATGATAATAAAACTGTTATATCGCTGTTCATCATAATCTAATGAATGTTAAAACAAATCTAACACAGTCTAATCATTTATGCCCTTTCAAAACAAATTGTCTGCTTGCACGACCCCATAGGACTCATGTATGAGTGTGAGGAGATTTTCATCATGAATCTTCAGGGTTTGAACTCGTCAGGAAAAATAATGCAAACAAATGACATCTGTTGAGTTTCAACACAGATGCAGAAAAATGTATCATGTGACATGTTTTGCAATTTGGAATTCATGTGAGTTGTAAAATAGAAATGTTTAAACTTTGGCAGAATATAATGTGAAAAACCACGTCTCTGAATGTATAGTATTAAATCTTACCATCACATGAACAGTCTGGAGACACAAACATCAATCTGCACTGCCCTCTAGTGGTGGAGCTGTTTCTGTGGAGCAGTGTGACACTGAGGCCCAATCCAGACAAACTGAGACCACAAAGCCCCCCCACTTCTGATGCTGAAAGAAAATCAAATAGAATCACAGTTAGACCATTGTTGTGTCACATGAGTTGAATGTTGCTTGTTAACCTGAATTTGTTCTTCTCTTTTTAACTGATAGTAATAATAATAACTTTATAGCAAACAATAGAAATAAAAATAATACAAATACAGATAACAACAGCAACAGACGTCACATTATATTATGAAAGCTAATTTATGATCTTGTCTAATATCTCAAGTCTCATGGCCAAAATAATATGCTCACTCATTCTCTCTTTTCTCTTTCATATACACACGTGTGGAAAACAGATACAGATAAGTGTGCACATTATTTTTGCCACCTGATAAAAAATCTGTCACTGAATGAAATCAAACCTTGTCCCTTGAGCCCAGCTATTAAAGTTCTATGATCTCAGATCGGATCATAAACCAGTGAATAAGAAAACTACAACTTACTAATACTAATAATCTACAGTTTTCTTACATTTGTCATAAAGTTGTTTCCTGTTTACTGTTACATCAGCTTTTCTCATCTCAGATTCCATCTTGTGTCTTTGTTACTTCTTTCACATGGAGAACGCAGCATGTAGACGTTGTTGGTCACAGCTGAGCTATGGAGCCTACCAGGGTGACAGTGAAAGTGACAGGAGCTGTCACTGAGTCCTCGTCAGTCAGGTCTGCTGGCAGCGGGTCAACAGAGCAGGTGGAGGGGAGAGACAGCTCACATACCAACATGCCGCAGAGCAGCACAAAGCCGCCTGTGTAGGTTCGACAGCACGAAGCTGCTTCCTCTTTCACTGGCTTTCGCTTCAGGTACACGACAAACTGAGGAAAATGCAGCCCAATGATTGTGACTCTGATAACAGCTTGTGGTGTCTGAGTACAATGAATACCCACACGTCTGCATATCTTTCATTTACAATATTCAAAGCAATATTCAAATTATTTTTCCACCTAGCTCTCATAACCTCTGACTGACAACAATAAAGGGTTTAATACATACACACAAGCATATCATGAAAAAATTCTCCTTATAGATGAAAGTAGATAGTGAATGGAAACACATGCAGAGAGGAAATGTTGGGTGTGATCAAGAAAACAAAAGCCTGAAGAAGAGACGATGGGCAGGGCAGGGCAGGGCCACTCAGAGTTGCACTTGGCATGGAAGGAGTTATTTGGAGACCAATTTAGAAATGAATGTGTGGATTTAATTAGATAAATAAAAGCGCACATACCTCCGCCAAAGCAACAACATTCAATTCAATCAAGCTGCAGCAAATTTCACACACTCGTAAATGTCTGTTCCCTGAATGAATTTTATTTCAATTATTCTCTGGGAAAACAATGAAAATGATGAAAAACGCCTTTTGTCACAATGTTAAAGAAAGCGAAATAAAAAATCCTACATTGAAAGGTTTCCTCCCTCACACACATCACATTCTTACACCAAGTTTCATGAACATCCGTTCACTTTCGTGTAATCTTGCGTACAAATGAACCAACAAACAGGGAAGGGGTTAAAACACGACCTCCACGGTCATAAGAGTAATGTCACAGCACTGCACCACCTGTAAAATGCTGGTTACTTGGATGTTGCTGTCTGAAAATCCAAAAAAGGGACTTGTTGATTCTAAAAGTTGTGCCATGTTCTCTACAAGTTATAGAGTGTATGAACCTGGGGACTAACGCCTCAGAGAAATATCTTTCAAATTAATCAGCAGCTGACCTTCACAGCAAATTACAGGTAAGAGCAAATCTATTTGTCTCTAAAAGCCTGCAGCAGTGATAAAATATTTTTTTCCAGACAGGCGGCCCGGCGGCTCATAAACGTACCAGCCGGAGCAGCGGAGGTGTTGCATAAAGGCTGAGGCAGGAGCTGAGACAAACAGGTTGCACCAGTTCTCTCACCATCTCATCAGATAAAGGTGCTGAAGCTGGACCAGAAAACAGGAGCCTCTGTATGTGATTTGACATGAGGCCGTCACATGTCACTAGTGAGTAATGTAGGACGGAGTATGATCAAGACTAAAAAGGAAGAAAATAAAAGTGGTTCAATCAGCTCGTGTACGACAGACCCACAGTGATGCTGCTCTGTAACAAGCTGGTGTGTTTTGACGTCTGCGTCACTGCAGCCATGAAATCCTCGTGTCTCAGATTCTTATCACTGTTTGGCCAGGGACTATTTGCATTGAGTTTCAGTGACCTAGAAAAGCACAATGAACTGTTTGCATTTTTATTCATTTAACATCAAAATCCTTCATTTACAAACCAAACTACAGTCAATAAATAGATTGGATTAACTTAGAATTAAACCTGAATATTGGCCAGTGCTTGTTGGAACCAAACCAGACTAAACCTTTGAGAGAAAGCACCATGACCTTTTAAAGTATATCAAAAGCAGAAGTTAGACGGGAACCAGCCTCACATTGGTTCCACTGAAGAGCCTGTGAAACCAAACAGTGATAAGGACATGTCATACCTGCAGAATACAAAACAAATTAAAATGACAAGTTATTATTACCTCTTGACAGAAACCGCTTTTAATTTACAAAGAGAACCACAGGGACTGTGAGAGAGTCAGGAATGTCCAAACAGTTCTTGCCAGTATCGCAGAAATAAAAACACTGTACAATATCAGTAACAAGTGGACTTAAGAGGTGTGAATGACAGTTTTCAGGTCGCGTCAGTCCGTCTCTGGTTATAAAAGCTTGATGCAGTAAAATAGAAAAAGCATAAATATGTAGTAAAGATGCTTCCCCAGAGGTTTGCAATGCCTTCGTCCTGTGTATGAAAGAGAGTCTGCAGGGACACGAGTAGATGAGGTGCACGATGCATCAGTCCCTGAGCAGCCCCAGCTTCTTCAGGGCCTCACGGCGATCCTCCTCATTTTCTGAACGGGGGCAGATCAGCACGCTGATGCCTTCTGATCGAGGCAGCTTCTGAGTGTCTCTGGAGTGCTGATAGACAGTGGGGCCCGGCAGGGACCTCCGTGGAACCTGCAGGGACCTCAGTGAGTCTGGATCTTGATGGGTGACCGCCGCTCTCTGAGTGCTTGAAAACTCCTTCCCGCTCCCCAGGGACGCTGGACGGGGCCGATTGTTACGCAGCTGCCTGGGGCTCAGCTCACCATCGTTGCTGGAGCCTTCCATTGCCAAAGAGCTCCTTAGACCCGGGCCGGCACGTTCCAGGGTGGCCGATTTGACACCTACAATCCTGGGTGGGGTTAATTTCAGTGGGGTTAGAGGAGGCGTATTCTGCTGTGCCTGAACGTCAGCATTGGAAACGCCTATGGCAGCAGACGGTTCATAATCAGACGTCAGAGGTCCGATTGGGTCACTGAAATCTGCAGGTGCTGGGAGAATATCTGGAGCTTCAGCTTCAACTGATGGTGGCACAGCAGCTGGAGACAGTAGGGGGAAGGAGACTGGAGGTGGGCTGTTGACATGAGTGATAGAGGGCGGTGTGCGTGGAGCTGCTTGGCTGCCTGGAGAATGAGAAGCTCCCCATGAGCTCCTAGTTCTGGGAGACAGTCCGGGGCTCAGGGCAGGACCTGGATCTGCCTCATCACCTTTTAGCAGGCCGAGCTTTCGGAGCGCCTCAAAGCGGATTGGGTCCAACATCCGGTCACTGCTGGAGGCGAAAGAATGTCCTGAGTTGCCATCAGAGCCGGACGCTGACGCCTTGTGTGACTTCAGAATAATGTTGGCAGGAAGCTTCTTGGGCTTTGGGGCCACAGCAGGTGGACTTCTGGGCTCAGCAGCCATGGGAGGACTCATCTGGGGCTCAGCAGACATGGGAGGAAGACTCATCTGGAGACCAGCAGCCATGGGAGGAGGACTCATCTGGGGCTCTGCAGCCATGGGAAGACTCATCTGCAGACCAGCAGTATTGGAAGGAGGACTCATCTGGGGACTAGAGATGATGGCTGGTGGACTCAGACCGGGCAACACTTCAGGTGGGGGCATGTTTGGACTTTCCTGGGTCATAGAGGAGCTCTCTAAAGTCCTCTTCACTGTTGCTCTCTGACGTAGTTGTTCTAAGTCGATAGGTCCTCGTGGCTTGTTACTGGACAGATGAAGTTCCCTGAGTTTGTCTAGGTGCACATTAGGGCGTGGTTTGTCCATGAAGTCTGAGGGAGGTGGGATCAGAGCCAGATGTTTTGCAGAGGCCACATTGGACTGACCTTGGCGAAGCCTGGAACTAGTGACAATTTTAGGATTACCATTTCCATCTGTGGTTACGCAGAGAGCCTCAGACTGAGGAGCTGATGGGGGGGTTTGAGAACCACTGGGCTGAGTCATGACGTCCAGCGATGATGGGATGAGATCTTCTGTGGCTGCTGCCGAAACAGGATGCGACGGTGGTTCATGATCAGGCTTGATGCTGAAAATGTCTGAGAAAAAGAAAAACACAATTCCTGCAGTTAGTTCACAGGAACGAGACACGACAAAGATAATCCCTGAGCAGAATGTCATGAACACTCACCATTCACATTTGTCCGACCCATTTTGTCTGCCTGTAACCCAGCATCTGGTTCATCGTTGGAGAAGCCGCTGTCCTCCTGCACCTCCAGAGCCTCGATGGTTTCCTCCAGATACATGAGACAAGCTCTCTCTTCTGCAGATAAGTGCTCCATGCTGTCTTCACTCTGCACACGGAACAAGACTAGTTTTAGTATTTGGTATTTTAAACTCTTCAGTCACCATTTCACCCTGAACACAGCCATGAGGGACAACACAGCAGGAATAGGTCAAAGTTGTTTAGTGTTCAAACAGCTACAAAGGAACAAGTAATCACAGCGCAATGTTTCTTTCACTGCACTTTGACTTGTCAGAGGAGTTTCAGGTGAGTCCAGGAGCCTGGGTACAGCTCCTGATCGTCTCACCCCTGGGCATCTAAAAAAAAAAACTCGACTCTCACTGGAACCTCCAGTCTGAGCAAATATTAGCATTCAAACAGATTCACTTCCTCTCATCGTCTCTCGTGTATCTGTCTCACAATGACTGTAAAAGTGTTACGTTGTTTCATGAAACAAGTGTCATGGTGAAGAGTTTGAATATGTTGTGTCTGACAATAAACAGAAAAGCTACAGAGTCACTGAAGGTGACTGGAGCACGAGTGATTGAACTGGTTGGCTGATAAATATATACATTTTATTTTCACAGTTCAAGCTCTATAGGTTTGATTCCATATGTATTTTTCAACGTTTTCACTGTTTTCCCAGGGACTGATTCATGGATCTTGATGAAAAAACTAAATCAGGCATATTTAGGGAACTGATATCTACGAGTTTGTGAAATTTGGAGCATTTAAAAAAGAACTGTTGGGATTTGGTGGAGGTGTGTGCTCTAGTGCTCATCCTCCCAAAAAATCCATCTCAATCAGGCGATCTACTGCTGCACTTACATAGCCAGAGTTCATGCTGATTACACTCTCGCAGCTCCCAGCACTGTCCATATTGCTCAACGATTCCATGGCAACACCGCGTGGCCACGTGTCATTCTTCGTCATTGCATAAGGAAGACGACGAGGGCTGAGGAAAAAAGAGAGAAAAGGAGGCACAGTTACGACAAAATGTTTAACTTGCAGGTTTGAGACGGTTTCAGACGAGAAAGTTTCAGAAGAGAAAAAGCTGCAGTTTGAAGTCTGTCACAAAATTAGTCAGCAAACGAAACAGCTATTAATGTCAAATCTTTCCATTAGTGAGACAAATTTATGCCATAAATGAAAGCTCACAGTTAAATGATCCTCCTAACGTAATAACTCTCCTATTAACGTAACAAGAGGCAGTTGAGGAGCTGAATGCCAGTCACTGTGATGTACTGAATATAACCAGATATGCTAATTGAGTCGTTAAACAAATTAATGGACGTTTTATTTACTGACAAGACGTGGCCTGTTTCAAAACGAAGACATTAACACGAAGATGGATTTTCGTGAGATACAAAAAATATCAGATAATAATCCCCTGTCATCCAATATGTTTATGTTATAGAGCTGACACAACAAGTTCAACAAAAATCGTGAATCCTTTGTCATTTCAGTCGCTTTGTCGCTTTGCCATGTCACCCAGAGAGAAATGCTCATCTTTGTTTGTGAGCATGTGTGACATACTTCCTGTCATGTTCAGTTTGTGTAAAGACAGTTGATATGAGCGGATCACGTTGCAGCACTACGCTGCTCGAGTGTCTCCTGCACATTCTCCTGAGTCAGGTCGGAGTACAAGCGTGCAGCCACAACCTCAGGGGATTATTACAGAATCCTCATCTGCTACAGGAACAACAAGGACGAGGGATTTTCAGAAATCCAAACTAAAAACACTTAGTAAAACAAACAGGGTGGGAAATGAATTCACACGAGCTGGCATAAAAGACCACTTAATGCAAAGCAATGACTGTGCCAGAAGCAAAGAGCCGAAGTGAGCGATAGTAAAGAGGAGATCGTATTTGATGAAGTCAAGTTCAAACACTCACACAGTGGATTTTAGTTAACTAGGTCACACAAATGCAATATCCTGCATTCAGGCCGCACAATCAGGCTCAGGTGTGCGTGAGGAAGTAGAGCAAAGTTAACTTTATTGTTCGTTTTTATCTCAGAGAACGTTTGATTAAACCTGAATAAGTGTCCAGATTTTCCTGCATGGGAATGTGGGGATTTTTCTGCTCTGGGAAAATTTTGATTCCACAATTCAAAATGAGCACATGGTGGATAATTTAGAAAATGTGTTTTGATTAAATGAACTACCTTTAGGCCAAAAGTTAATAAATTCAGTATTTTTCCAACCCAGCTGCATTCCTGGCAGTGAAGGGAAACGAGTAATTCATAAATAAGATCTGTGAATGAACTAAGTAGGAAAATTCAATTCAATTCAAATGATTCATGCATTTTATAGTTCTTATTAAAATCTTCTGAATTACGGCATTTGGACCGCAGAGTTTCATGAAACTTGTTTTACATTTTGGACGTTTCCCACCATTCTGTCGTAAGCATGGATAGAACGTTTTGTTAGCTCTGTTGATCTATTCTAGAAGCAGTGGATCCCCAACATGTACGCTTGTAACTACAAAAGTAAAGAGTTTGCAAACAGTTCAAATAGACATGTTTGTCTTTCATATCACTTTGATTATCACTGTTTAAATAAATCCTGTCCACAGCCAAACCCTAAACAAATCCTCATTGTCTTGAAGCGAGCAGCAGGTGCAGTGAGATCTTCAACGTTTAACAAGAGATAAGTGTTGAAACGAGAAAGAGGAGGAAGTTGCTGCTCTGAGAAAAACAAAACCAGATTAAAGTTAATGGATTTCGAAAGACTCTTGTCATGGTCAGATTTTTTGTGACTCTGTATGAGAAAGATTTTTTGCAGTCATCTCTCTGGGGTCTGACCTCTGGGTGGGTTAATCTAGAGAGTAGAGGACACTGACATTTTGGCCTGTTGACATGGAGACAGTTGGGACAAACCTGATGACCAACACCCACATTCACACATGTTTTCTGGCAACAAAAGCAGCCACGAGCCCCGCAGAGAAAGCTGCTAATGACTGTAACCTCCAATTAGAGCTGTTCGGATCAGCAGAGCCACAAAAATCCAAACCTCCAGCAGCCAACACCTCTCCACGCTGAACGAGGCAGCAAACCTGTAGGGCAGCCGCAGAGGTAAAGCTGGTTCACTACACCCACAGCTGAGTCAGGGATTTAATAGAGACAGGAATGTCACTTTGCTTGCTTCCATCGCTTTTCAAGGAACTCTTTAATTCAACCAAGTGTTCTGCTGGGACTGGGCGTTCCACCTGAGTCACATCTTGGCAGATGAGGTGTTTGCAGCCCCGGGTCTTTTAATGAGTTTTGCTGTGAGAGAACTCAGACTCATTACAAAACCCAGGAATCATCATTTAGAGTCGATGATGACAGAATCAAGCATGTTCCTGAATCGGGGTCCAACAGAGCTATGTGAGGTATGCGTTCAAGGGCAACCAGTCAGAGAACTGGTTTAATGATTAACAGTAAACACAAAGCTCGTGTATGAACAGCAGGTTGTGAAACTCTCAACCTGAACAGATATATTCCATTAATGTTTAGCTTGTCCCACTAAAACCAACATTATTGACACATATGTACAAATATTTGATCGTTTCTCTGACTCACTGAGCCACGAAATGTTGGGTGATTACACATTTCTCACATATTTGGAAAAGAAACACGAGCTTTAATAGAATGGGAACTTATTAAACACTGTTACTCAGGATTTCTCCATTTGTTCTGAACTTCTCTCGACCCAGATATTGAACTCAGGACCATAGTGATATTTTGTGCAAATAGGGACAACTGTCATTCACACCCCCACAACTACAGGAATGAAAAAATAAAAGCCTGGGTGAGTGTAACTTCCTGTCAAAGTTTGTGCAGAACAAGTTAGAGGCTGGTTCCATTTCCAGAAGGCAGCAAAACAACTTTTCCCCCTGAACTTGAAACAGCCTCAACAGGAAATACCCCAGAAAAACCAACTCTCACTTCAGAGTCACTTCCTCAAACTCACCGGAGATGTCACAGAGGAGAAGTTCCAGCTGATCTAGGAGCAGTTTTCAGGTCTCAGTCCATGTTGGGGGTGAAACTTTCTCCTCTCTCCTGCAGCTGCTGCGTTCCAAAGAAACTACAGACGACCACAGACAGAACAGGTACTAACACTGACAGGTGAACCAATTAGCGTCGAGACAGGTTAGTGAGTGGCCAATCAGCGAGCACCTGAGTGAGACGTCATCAAGGAAGAGCCCAATGGCAGCAGGCGCTTAGAAACTCTATACATTTATGTCTGTGCATTGATGGTGTAGTTTATAGACTATATATATATATATTAATATGTATTATTATTATATAGTTTGTTGAAACATATTTATAGACAATTATTATGGCGCAACAAAAACTGAATCTATATTAATTCTTGAATTTTAGGACAAATATGTTCCATAAATACAGAAAGAGTTATGGGTTATATATAATGTATGTCAAGTATATTATATCGAATAATAATAATAATACTAGTATTAGAGCCAATCATGAGAAGAGGATGACTTTGTTTTTCTTTTTGCATATCAATAAAAAAAGATTTACATATTTCTTGTCATTTGTTTCGTTGACAGGGACGATGCTCATCAATCAACAGCAAAATGGCTGTAAATGAGCAGAGTTATCTCAACAGGCACTTTTTATCTGTTTTTAAAAAGGCAAACCTAAAATAAAATGGCTGGTCATAGTCAACACTTATAAGCAATACATACAGGCTAATATCCAGACAGGTACAATGCAATAATAAGTAACAACACGGTTTGTTTAAATTTATGCCTGGCAGTAAAACTCTTCTCTACATGTGTGAGCCTGTTTTCAAACACAAAATCCAGCTGGGGGACATGTCATTAGTGTGTCGGTGTTAGGTTATAAAACAAAGAATTGAACTAAATTACATTTTGGTCTAATGAGGGAACAAGATGTCCAAGGAACAAGAGGATTTTACATTTCAGCCTGCAGGGAAAAAAACTTGAGTACAATTCATCCAATTGTGTTAATGGTATAATTCTTATTAATGCCCTGATTTAAAACTTATAAAGTATAATTAAAAGGGCTATATTATGTATGAGGCTGTCTCATTGGTACCATAAAATTGTGTATCCTAAAAACAAATACCAAGTGATTAGTTTTACTACTTATTTCCATTGACCACAGGCTGGTTTGTGAATGATTGAGTTCATGAATCTCAGCCCGCAACAAGCTGATGTGTTTTTCCAAGAAATAGCATCTAGCATAGCAACATATATATACGATACTGCATATCTATGAAAGTTTGCAGATGCAGATGGTTCATATTCACGTCTGGCACAGAACAAATCATCATTTGATAGAATCTTACTTAACCAGCGTCATTTTCTGTGTCCTGAAGCAAGACCCAAGAAAATAACATTTTATGAGATTAGTTCTATGATTGTAAAAATTATTTAAAAAAGACCAAACAAAAAATGGGAATCAGATGAAGAATACAACATAATCATGGACTATTGTCTTTTAAAACAAGTTTTGTTTTAACATTTACTAGAATGACATTAGATACAACACAAATATACAACGACCCGTTCCAGGTGTAACCCGCCTCTCGCCCAGTGTCAGCTGGGATTGGCCGGTGACAGATGGATGGATGAGTCATTACTGCTGCGATATATTGCAGAAGTTGGCTTTTTAATTATAGCTGTGGGTATTTTCTCCTGTTTACTTACTTCCCTTCCTGACAAAGACGTAAATTACCATCATGCACAACTAGGAGATAACATTTGAATAATGTTCAAAATTTAAATTCCAGACAGAGGTTTCAACAACAGTCTTGGCTTAAATTTAAAAGTATTAAAGGTCTTTAAATGCAAACATTTTGTTAAATGTATTTGGTTGTATCCATTAAAAGTGCTAATCGTATGTGCTACATTAATTTGAATGCAAAGAGTTGTACTGTAGAAACAGGTTTGCTCTGTTTAAGTAATGCCGTCAGTGCAGCTTGTACCTGCTGCAGTATTTTGACACTTGGACTGACAGGAGAAGCTATGAGGAGATTTTACAGTCGGCTTATGTGCGTGTTAACACCTGCACTGGGCTCTGAGAAGCTGCTGTCCATCCTCCAGCAGAGAAGTCTTTATGAAAAGAACGTGGAGGGCAGAGAGCAAATATTTCCTCTTGGCACCGACCTTGTTTACCCTCCGAATATCTGAAGGCTTCAAAACCAAGCGTCGGGTTGGCTGCGATACCTGTAGTGCAACTGTGGGTCGTCAGACTCTGTTCCATTGTTGCAGTAAACAAGATCAGTGACAAGACAAAGAGACAAGAGGGAAAACAGGGACAACATTTCTAATTGAGCCATTTATTAGTTGAACAATTATGAAAAATATTCATAAAAAAGACTGGAAGCCCAAGATTATTTACAATCTTTTTTTTCTGAAGTGAGGTCCCTCTTCTGAGTCATAGTTTTCTTAGCCTTTTTTTTAATCACAGGGTATTTATTCACGATATGTTTAACTTTATAAGACATAGTCCTTTTCTCTCTTTTGACAAGCGTCAAAAATTACATACATACATACATACATATACATATATATATAGATATCTATAAAAGCAAAAATCATTCAAGTATCAAAATACAGACTGCTAGATTCATGTACAATATCATTCTCATCATTGTTGTCATCAGATTAGTCCCAGAAATATCTCTATCTCCTGATCCTCAGCGATGTGCAAAAGCAGAATGGAACCAGGCCGATGGCTGAAGGTGCCAACACCAGCGAGCCGAACACAGCATACCATAAACTTAACGAACTGGCCTGACAAGGTACCACATAAACAACAGTTAAACCAAAACGACCTGACTACAGACCCATAAACACATGAGCCGACAGAAATAAAGTACCATTAACAGTCAGCGCACTGGGGAGTTAGTTTGGAGAGACTTGCCCTATTGTTCTGTTCTGAGGCTAAAAACTAAAGACGTACCAGCCTGCGTGGCAGGTTTGGTGAATAATCTTGTCTAGATTAACAAAGACGCAGGGAGGGAGAGAGAGAACCACGCCTGATCCAGTTCCTGCATCAGGACACGTCATTGTCCTATAAAACAATTAAAACATACAAAAACAAGACGAGAGAAAACTTTCAAATCATATAAAAGCCCCCCCCCCCAGTTACATCACCGTAAACCAGTGTTTGTAGTGTCACTTCCTCCGCCCTTTCTAAGTTTATCACAGTTATATACGTATGTTGTGGATGAGAACTTGAGTTCATCAAAAGACGCTACAGTGTTTTGATCAAGGAGAAATAATCCAGGAGGGAGTGTGTACCGACAGTGTGAGGTCTCTTACCGATAGTTTGTACCTTTTTATCATAACAACAACAAAAATCATCTGCTTCCACTTTAATTACAGGTTGTGCATTAAAACCTGCAGGTACATCCCCCGACGAGCAGGAAGTTAATGGAGGCGTGTGTGGAGTGATATGGGTGAGGTGAGGGAGCGTGCAGTGTTGAGAGAGTCTCCGGACCCGTGCGTTACTGAACCATCCTGATGTGATCTGCTGCGTGGCAGGTGGCTCACGTTTCCAATGAATAGAACAAACAAACAAACATCCAACCCACCATGCAACAGGGCTCTTTCTTACTGGCTGGGAGGGGCCACAGTGTTCAGCTATGGGGAAGGGAAACAAACACAAAACAGGGAGGTTACGACAAAGCAAAAATAACAACTGAACATGATGGTGATGGATTATCCCCAAGTTATAATCTCGTTTCACTGTCGACAGTGATATTAACACAGTGGTGAAGACACAGAAGGCATTTGTTGTGAAAAGAAGAGAAAAAACAGACGAGACAGAGGAAGATGCACTTGTTCTCACACACTTGGGGATTTGGTAAAAGTGCTTAGTTACAGTTAGTTCACTCCAGAAGAAGCTGCAGGTTTGAATCCTGCTCCTCTGATTGAAAGAGAAAGGAGGGCATGCCAGTCTTATGACAGATGGGGCTGTCTATTTTCTGGAGCAACATGGACCTCTTACATGCAGGTCCATATCAAGCTCTGTGCCCTGTTTTGTACCCCACGAGAACCCCCCCCCCATGATAACTTTAATAGCTCGTAGAGGACTTATCACAGTGCTACGATCTCATCCTCCTTTGGCTTTGAGCAGCACCACCAACTGTGAAGCACACGCCCCCCCCCCCGGACTGTGTAACCTCCACATAACCACCACGACCTGCAACCTGCACCCCGCCGCTTCAGAAAACAGTCTGCAAATTCCAACAGATGCAAAGAATTACAGGAGCAGTTTCTCCGTTCCCTCTGGAAACACGTCCATCCGGGTACGAGCGTGTGTGCTGCCTGCGGGGGGGTCACTCTCGGCTGAAGTAAATCAAGCACCGGTCAGGAGTCGAAAGATCAGAGTGACAAGCCTCAGAGTGGCCGTCGCCTAACAGAGCAGGAAAAGCACMAAGAAGAGCTTATCACCGAGAGTTCATACCAGGATGTGGACGTGGAGGGGAGGGGGGGAGAAAAGGAAGCAATGTGCACAGAGTTCAGGAAAGAGGGCAAACAGAAGGAGTATAAGAGTGGAGGTGAGTGGCAGAGACTGGTGAGTGATACCAGCGAGAGGAGGGTTGATAGCGTGGAAGGGTTGCACTAGTAGCGTGTTGTTGTTGTTGTTGTAAAAGCAGGACACGCGTGGCGGCCGAGGGGAGACGGGGGAGGGCGGGGGTCCAGCCCAGAGAGAGAGAAAGAGAGGCAGAGTGAAAGGCACACAGAAGGAGGGGGAGGTGGGGAAGAAAGGTGAGAGCAGGCCCAGGTTGAGAGGTCAGGAGGAAGAGGGGTCCACTCAGAATATGGTGGTCTCATACTTGGTGCTGATAGTGCGCTTGGATTCCTTGGGGTCCACGAGCCACGTGGCGCTGCCCTGGGACTGAGCGTCCCCCTCCTGGTCCACAATGTCCCCCTGTGAAGACAAACAGCATTTATATGAAACATATCACCTTTCAATAAATAGTTAATAACCTGGTATAATGTAGTTTTAAACAGACAGAAGTAATGTCAGGGAAGAACTATTCAAATTTGATTCAGAGACAAATAAAAGTTACATCCAAATCCAAACTTGTTCGTAAATTGTTTTTGAGTGTTTTCTCATATCACCTCATCAGCAGCTAGAGGCCTCCACTGTTTTGTCAATGTTCAAATTTTGTCCGACGACAAGTTGAATTTGATTTAAAGGACCATTTGTCTATTAGTGATTTCAAGACTAAGAAAACTAATTAAAACTAATTTAACTTACTTACCATTTTTTTTTAAAACTTTTAATAATGGGATTTTATACAAGTCCTGTATTCAGGTCAGTTAACACAGTCACTCTATTTTAGTTACACATATAGTAACATTCTCTCTACACCAGGTACTGCAAGGACTTCTCTATGCGGATATGTAGTTCTGTGTTACTACCAAACTGTCACTAGAGGGCGCTCAAGTTAAACCTGACATTCAAAACATGTATCCATACACATAGTATAAGTTATTTTTATATATACATGTATATAAACTAAATAATTTCACAAATAAATAAATTGGAAACGTGCCATGTGAGATTTTCTGGGAAGTGAGTGTGAAGATAAAATCTATAAAAGCAGAAAAAGCATGAGGATGAAGCTGTGACAGGAGGAGGAGGCAGCACCTGGGCAGCAGGGCTGGAAGAGTGCAGCAGTGGGCAGGAGGGACGGTGGGAGGTGCAGGTGTAACAGTAACAGCAACGACTGTCGACAGGAGGAGAGTCCTGGGAGAGATAAACACCACCAGGAGGAGGGAGAGAGAGAGAGAGAGAGAGAGAGAGAGAGAGAGAGAGAGAGAGAGAGCGAGGGAGAGAAGAGGAAGAGGAAAAGAAACAGAAGTAGAGACAGAGAAAATGACACAGATATGAGCAGCAAGCATGAGACAGGAGGCGTCTGGTTAGCGTGTGGTTGTGCTGGGCAGCTCGCAGCTTATCTGCAGATTTATGTTGATGCACAATCAGAGTTGCTGTGTAGTGATACAATATGTTCCACGTCAAACTCACCCCTGACTTTCGCACGCTGCCTCGTGGTTTGGGAACCGGTCGGCTGGACTTGATCTCTGTGATCTCCGAACCAGGTCCCGCTGGGAGGCTGTGGTGCTGTTTGGTCCTCTGGGCCTGCAGAGCCAGCTGATATGCCACCTCGAACGCCTGACCCAGGGTCAGTATAATCTCATAGGTCAGATTCTATGGAGAGAAAAAATTGTGTGAAAATATTGTGATTTCGAGCCTCAAGGTCAGTTTTATTTTCTGCCAGGAGGAAAAAAAATTGTACTCAGTTTGCAGCAGGACAGCAAACAGCTTCTCTCAGTACATACACCTACTGCATCTACAGCTTCCAAATATGAACAAGCACTAAAGACAGATGATTTAAGATTCAAACTACACGGCTTAAGATTTAAACAACTCATCTGCTCTATGTTCCCACTTGTGTCTGAGGATTGTGTCTGGTTGAAAATAACTGATTTCAACTAATGCGTGTTTTCAATCAGCTTTTTTTTCCATCCCAGCAGAAGAAATGACAGAGCTCAGAAAACTACAGTAACTTCCACAAAAAGTGTGTCACTGAGAGCTGCCTGGAATGGCCGCGGCTGCATCATGAGGCAGATCAGCAGGATGATCATCGGATCTCTGGGAGAGGGACAGAGTAGGTAACGGACGACTGGTTATCATGGTCAAGAGTCGCACACGTGTCTATAAGGAGGCAATCAACCGCTGCTGAAGCGTGACACCTTAAAGAGATAAGGCCGTCTGGAGATAAGAGTGTTGATTGTGAAGCCTGTCGCATCTGCTCCGAGTAAGGACAGGAAACGATGCTGGCGGAATTCAAATGAGCCAGAGGGGAAAGTTTTTGAACACTTCCCAGAAGTTACTTTCATTTTTAATCTGGCTTCTTTTAGACATGCACCAAACTATGGATATTTTTTGAAAGGGGCTGTATGTGAGAACGCAAATGTCCAAATCAGTTGCTATGGACATTTTCTGAAACATTTCCTGCCCGAGCACAAGTTAAATGCATTCTTCATGTGTGAAAGGAAAATTGCGACCATCCTTACCACGTCTACTGTGCTGAACACGTGGCAGTAGTGGTGGCTGGTCTGCAGGTCCTTGGTGATGTAAGCAAACGTACACAAGTCCTCTGGGTCCTGGGCTGCACATGAAATATTCCGGATCTCGTGCTCTGCAATGATGTTCTGCACCGAGAAGAGATGTATGAATCAGTAACGGACTGAAAATGACACTTTAACAAGAAAATGAGGTTTTGTCACAAGTCATAACACATTGTGAAAATACGAGGTGACGGGAGACAGCCAGTAAAAAGACACTGCGGCATAAAATGTGTTTCACAGCCATCAGAGGAGAGTGCAGACATAAAAATGAAAAGACGGCTTCCATTTTTTTTATTAATGCCAAATAAATGTCAATATGAAGAGACTTTCTTAACAGCGTGATGTCTGAGTGTCATACTTTCACAAAATATTACTAGAATACTGAGTTCAAAAGTATGTGCAACACTGAAGATAAGAAGGGTGGAGAAGTTAACTTCAGTTCGATTAGACATGTAGAAATAAACCTTATTGGCTGCATCGATGAACTTCACACCCTTGTAGGTGATTGAAAGGACGATGGTCGGGACCTTCCTCATTTGTTCCGTCGACTTCTGGGGACCACAACAACATTATAGATCAGAAAGGAGGACACATTGATTTAAAGTTCGTTCATACGCACAATGTCATGTTTTTGTTCACTAAGAATGGAATAGCAAATTTTAGCATACCCGCATTTTGGCACAAGCATCCTGCGTGGACTCTGTACCCCGCAGATCCTTAATTAGCATGGAACCCAGGTACTGAACAGAGAAGAGCAGAGAAGAAAACTCAGGCTTGTTGTTTTTGTTAAGTGAAAACTGGATCATTGAGGAAAGAGAAAGGCGTAAATGTACACTGGCTTCGTAAGCGCAGGATTCGAAGATGAGCTTCTCAGGTTGGTGATGCCAGTTCTGGACGGGGGCGTAAGGCGCAGCCAGACTTGGAGGACGCAGGGTCAGACGGGGCTCTCGATGCCGCTCCTCATGCCGCTCCTGGATAATCAATGAAAGTGTTATACAATCACTGGATCACATAGAGATCCTGGACCGTATGCACTGCTGAAATGTCAGGTGCAGGTAAAACTACACATACATGAGTTCTGTGTCGTTCACTGTGATATCTCTGGGTAACGTCATAGTCGGTATCTGGTGCTTTTTTCCTCCCTGGCTCTACTATAGGCAGCAGAGGGTCCATGGATCGACCCGCGTAGGACTCCATCTGACTGAGGGGAGACGAGGTGTGGGATCCAGGCAGGTCTTGGCACTGGAGAGAGTCGGACATAGTTAGTTGACTAAAACAGTGATTGTACTTTAGCTTTTAACAAAAACTTTGCATTGAAGGCTTAAATCAGTGAATGAATCCAACAGAGCTGAGTCAGACCGAAGTGAAATCCATCAAACTCCTGTTTATCCCTTTTTAAAACATGTCATTTCAAAGTGTATGAAGATAATATGTGAGCATGTTGGTGCTTGAGTCTACAGGTTCTCACCCTGATCTGAGACAGGCGGGGAGGTTTGACTGGAGGCTCCTCATACGGTCTCTCTGCTAAAGAAGCAATGATGCGTTTCCTGTGACCCAGTAGGGAGATCTTTAGAACCTGAGGAAAAAGAGGAAAATACTGAGCGACACATGAGGAGGTAGGTGCTAGAGAGGTGGAGACATACCAAGGAAAAACAGACACTCCTACTAAACATATCCTAACAACTTTAGACCAGTATTCAAGCTTTGAACTAGTCTATGTGTCTTCACCTTCAGAGTTTGAGTCTCCTCTGATTTCACTGTCAAACTTTTCTTCATTCTGAATTTTCACAGTTAAGAAAACTTATTTCATCCTGTGATATCAATCATAGTGCAAGTATGTCACTGGGACTCACGTTGACAATCTCTAGTTCCCACAGGTTCTTCACACAATCCAGAGTGCGGTAGCCGCTCGCCAGGAAGTTGTGCAAGTACTCGTGCAGTCCCAGATTCTCCAGCCAGGAGGAGAGGGTGCTGCTGCCATCACAGCCCAGAGCTTTCACCTGGAGGAGAGAACTAGTTTCACATATAGTAGTACTATATATTTTAGTATGTTAATCCCAAACTATATCTATTAGATGTTATAAGGCACTAGGGTAATTGTACTGTAATGTTCTGTCAGGGTACTGAGGGGAGATTATCATCTTGTGTTCTAACACCAGAGACAATGCAGGACCTCGCATCAAAGTCCGAAGTAGTAATGAGTGATTCTGAAGTAATAATAATAATTTGATTTGTCACCTTAGGTAACGACCGTGCTGCGTGCAGGATCTTCTTCCTGTGACTTGGGTCTGTGATCCCGATCTCTCTCAGGTCCTGGTCCTCCATGACATTACTGCCCTGCACAACAAAATATAGAGAACAGCACACTTTAGGGAAATGTGAATGAACTTGAATCCCGGTGCCTGTGGGAGACGTCTGAGGAAATCAAACATAAAACATGATGCCACCTGCCAAATAATGTACAACCCTGTAAAAGAAATCAAGTCACATTACATGATCAGGCATTTCTATGTACGTTACACTGCAATCATCTGTGAAAATCTAAAACACACTTGTCAATAAAGGTTAGACAAATCATCCATGAGAAGAGCCTATGCTGCAGGGTAAATATTGATCATGGGCAAATGCTGCCATCGCAGAAAGAAGGTCAATTATTCTAGCGTGAGATGTTTAAACTCCTTCCTGGAGTCCAGCCCACTGACTGTCGGACCGGGGCCACGTCGATAACCCCTTAAATGAGACGTAAGCGTGTGTGGGGGAGGGGGCCCACGGGGATGTGTGTGTGAATTATGGCCAAACTCATCTCTGGTTACACAGAGTACCACCTCTGAGACCATGTGGCAGGCGATTGGATAATGGAGAATGGAGCGATAAATCAATGTCAGGGCTGCAGAGTGGTCAGCGATGTGTGATGGATGGGATGAAAACGTTGCTACGATAGCTGACTCTATCTTCAGGCTGTGAGGAGAGAAGTCAAAACACCCCCCCCCCCCGACTTGTGAAGGGAGAATACTTCTACATTAAAAGTTATTTAATATGAGCAAAGTCCTGATAGCTGAGCTCACAGTCGAAACAAAAATAAATGATCACAAAGCATCACGGGTCAGATCACGGGTGAATAAGAGGGGAGGGTGTTGAGCCATTAACACTCACTGTGTTACCTCCACACGAGGGGTCAGCAACCAAATCTCATCTGTCAAAGTATCATGATGGGAGCTGCTGCCCTCAGGGAAATGTGACGGCCCCATGCAGCTGACTCCTCAACACGAATCTCAACTTAATCCTATGGTGCTCACCTCTACACACACACACACACAGGCACAGCAGCGACGGGACAGAAGAGGAAGCGTCTGTAGGTCACAGCTGAAGGCCTGTTTTTCATGCAGGAGCCGTCGATGTAAATGACGGATGAGGAGAGGGGAGGAGGGGGCCTGAGTGTGTGAGGGAAGAACCGCAGAGTAATGCTGCCTGTGGTATCACAACATTGATTACAATTTTGCTCAGTAATCTGCCTAATATGATGGTGATTAGCGGCTTGCATTCTAAAATCTGAGTCAGACAGAAAGACGGGATGAAAGAAAGAGTGTCCGCACCATCTGGGCAGATTGTCGTTCATAACTATGACGTCCAGTGTTTTGACATCGTGACGCAGCTCTTTCTCTCTCTTAAACCTTCTTCGCACTAAACTGACAAACTAAAGCCCGTTATCTCTGAGCGGTGCCGCGCTGATCGCTGCCTCTCCACCTGAGGATTGAATCTATTTGGGGAGCTGGATGGATAATTGTGCTTTCACAGTGCATGGATCATTGCTTTATTGTCCCGCTGGAGATTAACTGATAAATTGCTGTGTGTTGTGTTGCTGTGGATAGGTAGACGTGTTTCATGCATATTTTGGGTTATGTTTCCACCCTGATTACGGATGACAGATTATGATGACATTCATGGTACAGATGAGGGAAGAACCCATTAAATGTTGGTTCAGATCTGGATCAGGAAATCTTTTTTTTTTCTTTCTTTAACATTGCAAGATAATGTGTTTTTTTTTTAAAGTTTTCACAGAATAATGGATGGGTCTTGATCAAAAAAAGATCAAGCATGTTTCTGAAACTGATATCTGTGAGTCTGTGCAATTTTGTCCAGCTGGATTGAATTTACGGAGATCGTTGGGCCTTGGCTGAGTTATGAGCTCTCCCGAGTGCTGCTCTAGTTTATTTTGTTGCTCCTAAAGTTTCCTGTTTATTGGGATTCACTGACATTTCAGACAGCAGATATCACCTGTCAAAATGATTGTTGTGAAAAGAGACACTTATGTTTTCAGAATGAAATGTCTGTTGTGAATAAAAACAAAAATAAACTGTCTGATTTCAGACCCTTAAATTTGAGGATTTGCTGCTTGTCTTGGTCTTATAAAGTAACCTGAGCTTCACTTAAAGTGTCACCTTGGACTCAGGGTAAGCACAATGAAAAATTCATTAAACAATATAAACAAAAAATATTGGGCAGATTAAATAATAATGGAATAATCCACATTTCGCTGCCTGAGAGAATGCATGGACTTTAAATGTGAACCTTCTGAGGTGAAAGTCATTTGAAAGGGATCATCTCGCCTTTGAAAGTTTAACAAACATAAATTTTCTGTTCACCTCTGCACTATCTTGATCAGCCGTTCATCTCCACAAAGAAAAGACAAAGGGACTCAACAGGTTTAAAAAGTGAGGACGCACAACAGCTGACTTCAGCACAACATGGGTGAAAATAATACATTAGAGTAGCGTGACCTCGGCGGTTCTATGTCTTTGCTTGTGTGGCCCATCCATCTCTGCGTCTGCCTCGCCCTGTGCTCTCATTAAAATGCTGCTGCTCTCTTCTCGGTGTAGCCACAGAACAGCCACGCTGGTCCCCCTGGTTTAAAAAGCACTCTGAATCCAGGCCAGGGGCTCGGGGGCACGGATCATTCTGACCGTCTGAAGGACAGATAACAGCCACACTAAAAGTCATAGTTTGTCGTCCTTCACAGGTTGTCATCAAAACACATGGGCCTGTAAAAATATACCTGTGACACAACGTCCAGAGACAACACACAAATCTGTGTATTTGATCCATATCCTGCATTACGTTTTTAAATAGTTAAATGGATGAATACATCACCACCATCAGCACACAAGAAAAAAATCTATTAATCATCCCAAAGCTTTCAGCTTCTAATGTGCGAGGCCATTACTGAGTTTCCAATTTGTCCGCAGGCTTCAGTGGCATCGACTTGTCTCAGCAGCGCTGTGGCAGAAAACAGGAGGTAGAAGACTCTGCTGACTGGAGATATCATGTGGTCTGATGTTTCTCAAACTTTTCTGATTCAAATGTATTTTTTGTTTTCATCTGAGCTTCTTAGTTGGCAGGATGATGCAAAAACTACTGGACAGATTTCCTGAAACCAGGGGAAGGATGAGGTATGGGTCATGAAAGATCCCTTTAAATTCTGGTGTGGATCCAGATCAAGGCGACAGATCCAGGAATATTATTCCACTTTCTTTAACATTATGATTTGAGAAATTTGAAAGAAATATCACAGATGTTGACTTGTTTGACATTTAGGGGGCTGATAAGAGTGTCATTTGGTGCAGCTTGATTGAATTTAAGGGGACTGTTGGGCTGTGGTGGAAGTATACGCTCTGCTGAGTGGGATTCTAGTTCTACGCACCAAATCACCTCCACCAATTCAGCACTTGAATTACATTTGTTCCTCTCTGGATGGCTCCATGATTGAACACCACACTCGACGTGTTGGTTGCATACAAAGTAACTTGGAGCTCCGTTGGCCGACCCTGTCACAGCTGAACAACACATTTTCCAGAAGCTGAGCCCAGGAGCCAAAGCAGAGCAGCAAAAAGAGCTGTTTTCTTTCTAACAAGCATTACCTGTCAGGGCCGGTGGAGGCCTGAGAACAGCTCGGCTGCAAGGGAGCTTGTTTCATCAGAACATTTGCTCTAAGAGTCAATAAAAAGAATCTAATTGGTTTCAGAAGAGGCTCGTCTCTGCCTCGGTGCTTGAACACAATACAATCACTGCAGCCATCGATCCGCAGACAGAGACGGCAGCAGTCTGACCGGCTGAGTAAACACTGTTTAATTAGTGATCTCACTGCACAGGGGCAACAGCAGACAACCCATTTCTCAACCCATGTTTTTCTGGGTTTTTTATACCCAAGGGAAGATTAAACAGAGCCTGATGCTGAATCTTTACATTTGATGAGTGAGAGAGTAAATTAATTCAACATTCTCCGTTTTTGGGTAAATGATCTGTATTTATATATCACTTTTCTCAAAGTGCTTTAAAGATCCGTTTTTAGCCATTCACCCACACATTCATACAGAGCATCTATGTGCAACACTTTCTCTGTGACTGTTGCAGCTACAGAGGAGAGGTTATGGAAGTATTAGAGTCTTAATTAGGTTCCAGTCATCCTTGACGGTCCACAAATTGTGTATACTTGCAATATCGTTGTACGCATGTGATTTAGATTGTTTAGAGTTGATACCCTAGAGATTATGTGTGAGGCTTTGTTGCATTAGACAATAATATCTGTCTGGCTACAGAGCCCACAATGCAACATTACCTTTCCTCTGCTGTATCCACTCTAATACCCAAGCGCACATTAAAGACAATTAGAAAAAGTTTACCCCAGACAAGGTGACTCGTGGCCTTATTCTCAACCAAATTGTGATTTTTAAAAGGTCAACATTTGCTGTGGAGAAAGACGCGTGTTTAAAGGTTACGGTTCGTTTCCAAATCCTCAAGCGATCTCGGGGGAGCCAGGTGGTTTGTAAGCCGTGTTTAAAGATAGAAATGTTGCCAGCTCTCCGCTCAGATGACTCGAGGCTGAGGAGGGAGGGTATGAAAAACTAAAAAAAGACAGAAAGAAGATTAAAACTGGAAAGTAACTTCAGAGGCTTCAACACGGACTTAAACATGGCTGTCGTTGATGCTGGGAGAGTCGGAGATAGAGGGAGGGAGAGGGAGGAATTTGCTCATTCGGAGGTTATGTAAAGTAGATTAAAGGTTTTTTGTATCATTGGAGAGTGAAATGAGTCAGACATAGCTGGCACATAGGTCCACAAGAGTGTAAAATGTTCTCATGTGTCTTAGTGTTCATTGGTGTGATGTTTCTGGTTTTGTAATGCTTGTTCCACAACAGTAGCTGACAGACATCAACATTGTTGTCCCTGGTTAGTGAGACAATTCTGCTCTCTGGAGGTCAATAAGTCCAAACAAGATGAGTGTGACACTTCCAGACGGAGGACAAACCAAAAGAAACACAACTCTCTACTTTGACTGAACTTCATCATAATGGTAACTACTGAGAGAACGGGGGCTCAGATTATTTAGCATGAAGATTAGTGTCATTTCTCATCTGCATAGGCAGCACACTGTGTTCATTTCATTTCACTGTACGTTGGGTTTAGTTTATGGCTGCAGTTGTTATACGTTTTGAAGTAGCTGCTTTTGAATTTTAATAATTTCACGGCCAGTAAAGTCTGTACATGTACTGGAGTTAAACATTTATTCTGCTCTATAGGCTCACAGGATATCAACTGGATCACAAAAATGCCATTGTGCTTCAACATAATAATAAATTGCAGATATCTACATTTGAACACACAAGTTTATCAAAGATATGTCGAGAGGACAAGAGTTTGATGTGTGGCTTCCATCAGCAGTAGACATAAAAAAAGAAAAGATAATGACTTTAATTATTCAAACGCTGGTTTGTTGCTACATATTTTTACATTCTGTCTTTAGAAAGGTCACAATTCAGTGAGATAAAGATAAAACTCCTTCAGTATTATGTCAAATACAAGGATTGCTGTGTATATCACATCCCATGTCTGGAATGAGGGCAGAGCTGTGGCCCATGTACCCATACTGTTTAAGATCTTCAGAAAATGGGGACATGTTAGACTTTTTGAGACTAGCACTGCACTAATTATGATGATTTAAAAAGGCTCAACAAAAACCTGATTTTCTCTGATGTATAAATAAGAAAACACTGGATGGTTTTGTCAGTATTTACTTGGATTTCTTTGTATTAAATAGTAAATGCATTGACGTGATGTTATGTATTTTGTTGTATAAAGTAATGAAAGTCATTAAAGTTTGTTTTCCCTTATTTTTTTAAATGTATATGCAGATCTGGGATTTGTGGTGTACTGTAATCCAATGTGCGGTAACTAGTTGTAAACAAAACACATCATAGATTCTTTAAAGCATGTAATGTTTACTGGACATGTGAGGACAGATGGGAAAGATGCTGGGAGTTGTGTTCTGCCTGCATGAGACCGTTTACTGTTTCTCACCAAACACAATCAGTTTGAAATGAGATGAGAAGCTGAACACATATGGCTCTTTATTAAAAGACAAGGCGCGTGATGGGCCTGATGGAGGAGGAGAGAGTTTTCTTCCCGACACATAAGGTGACTGTCTCACTTCCAACATTCCCGCTGGCTCAGCCCAACCAGCTGGGTCCCCCATCCTCTCCTCCATCAGTCCTCATTAGTGACAAAAGCACCAGCGCCTACTCATAGTGGCGTCGCTCTATAAACTTGTCGGCTTGGCAACTGCATCCCATTGCTCACTGAGACGCTCCTCCATTCCGGGCGGGCAGCAGCTGCCTCTCAGTGACTGTAAGTGAGAGGCCATGACAGCGGCCTCCTGAGCTGAGACAAAGTGTCTGAGAGTCTGACAGGACGAACCTGACTCACACAGAACCAGGCGATAGGATATTAAACCTGATGTAAACAAGACATCTGACGACACAGATCAGGCTGCATGTTGTCTAGTTGAATGGAAACATCTTATAACCGATCAAAAGACACAGAAAGGTTGTGTTGGGAATCAAATAATGAATATTGAGAAGATTATAAAACATGAGATGTAATGAGTGATTTTGAATTATGTGTTGAACCCACCCAGAAAATAACTGTTCATATAATTAAGTATCATAGCTACTGAAACACAAGCCAGACTCACGGTGGGAGAGGTTGAGTTTCAACTAATTAAGAGTCAGGTGCAGGTAATGGGATCATCTATCAACTAATGGTGAGTAACATCAGCTGGATTAATGCACAAATATGCAAACTGGACTTAAGTAGTAGTAAGTAGTGACAGAAGATTATAGAAGTGAGAAGACCACTGTCAACAGAGTTAAGGACAATTTGGACATTATATAAAAGAAGTAAGGAACTCACCATATAGTGCAGGTCGTCGAACCCGTTGAGAAGCAGCTTGCTCTCGTACTGTGGGAGCCCCACATGCTCGAGCCAGTCTCCCACGGGCTGGTCCAGCAGCCGTCCCGCAGCACCTGCTGACAGGGGAAAGCGCTTCAGGAGGGAGAAACCTTTCAGCCGGACGCAGCGGCACTCTGACGATGAGACGTGGCATTGCCACATCATTCTCGGCCAGCAGAGCCGGGCGCACCAGCAACAGGAGGGCGGAGGAGACAGTGTCCTCTGAGGACAGGGCGTCGGCTCCCGCAGGGAAGCGGGGGCCGAACCAAAGTCACCCAAGATGGATTATAGCACCCCTGATCTCAGGGGTGAGGGGGATGATAAAGGGATATGAGCTGGTTGACTACCAGCTAACAACAACAACACAGTGCTGCCTCACCTAAATAAAGAAAACGAGTAAAAAAACAGTTCATATCCAGCCATCAGAAAAATTCTAAATGTCCCATGTCAGGAGATAGAACTTTTTTAAAAGCCTGCAGCTGATTTAAATGAGCTCCAGTTCTGTCATGTAGAAAAACTCACAGGAGTCAGAGGAGAGCCGCCACTCATAACAGCTTTTTTCAGGGAGAGTGATTTGTTTCGGCTGAGTGTGAAGTTGTTTGGAAACTTGCGGACAGAAGCGAGAGACAGTTAATTATCAAAAAGGCCCATCCCTGAATCGCAGATGCAGCTCACTCAGCATTTAATCCACAGGACAGGAATCCTGCACACATGGACAGCAGCAGGAAAATGTGAAGCAGCAGAGACTAACCTGGGACACGACTGCAATGAGCAAAGACTGATCACAAGCAAAAGCTGTAGTGACGTCTGTCAGCAGCCACAGCTGACAGGAGTCTAACCTATAGAAGGAGACATGATTTCCACTTCTCCTTTTACCAAGTTACTGTTTTAACTCACTTTGAAAATGCAAAAATGACAGGAATGTATTATTACTAGTTTGGTGAGGTTGTTTTTAACTATTGATTTGATCACCAAATTGTGTGTGCATGGCAACACATAAGGAAATCTGCCAACTCACAATAACAAACTAAAATAGAATGAATGTGTAAAATAAACATTTTAAAGCTTTGCATTCCCTTGTCGCCGCCCTCATCTCCTTCTCTGCTCCAGAGAAGTCTCATTTTTGATCACTCCAGAAACTCGGAAATGTGTCAAGGTAAAAAAAAATCCACTCAGGGATCCAATCAGCTTCTTCAAAGAGCACTTCAGTAATTGCTGGCCCAGAGACTGAACTCCTCTGCAGACGAAAAGAGTGTTCAAAGTGTCTCGCCTCAGTCTGGCAGTTTGTGAGATGTGTTCAAGTCCAGTAAAAAAGAAAAAGCTTGTGTCGTCGTCTCCAGGCTGAAGAATGGACAGATTCCGAGGTGGCGTCCTCCTATTGTCCTGACTGTTCACAATGCTGCTGCCTGCAATTCCTCTCTCCTCCCTTACTCTCTCTCTCTCCCCTCATTGCATGCGCTTCCCCACTCCTCCCTCTCTCCCTCACCACCACCACCTCTCTCTCTGAAACACTGCAGGTGGCTGCTCTTTGTCAGTGCTAGCTACAGACCCCCCACCCCTCATCACTAGCATTGGCTGCAGCTTCCTTTCTTGTATCGCATCATACTCTTCCACTGCATCTGTCACTCTAATGTAGAAGTCGATCAGAGGGGAGAACAGTAAAAGAGTGGCTGCAGGCACAGAGTCATTCAGCTAGACACATCACAGCTTTCTACTCAACGCTGGACTGAATCAGAGAGGGGAGGGGGTTGACGGTGATGCGGCTTCTCGCATGTGCATCAAACAGAGAGCTGCTTCTCCAGCGAGTCCCTGAGTGGCCTCGGTGGGCTTCTTCATTGAGATGGAGCTGTGAGCATGGTGGCTGATGGGCTGAGGCTCGACTGCACAGAGGAGTGGCACGTTCAGAGCAGACAGATGCAGCCCGTAGAGGGATGCTCACTATGTTGCTGCAGTGGTCTCAGCTTTCCTTAAGTCTACAAAGCAAAATGAGCTCATCCCCCTGACATACAGTACGTAGTGGTTAATATTTAAACAGCTCGCTCAGGCTGGGAATAAAGAGACTGCAAACTTTGTGCTTAGGTACAGTGGATCTGCGGCAATACTTAAATATATTATAATGTGGCTCAAGCAAAGAGTAAACTGAGAGGGAATGTGGAATAATTTTGCTGAAGAGAGGGAGTCGATTGTCTGGGATACAGCTACAGTCCCCGGGCTACGTCCATCAACCCAGACGACAGGCTTTGCAAAAGCCCGGTGAACATGATGTGAACAGGTACGGAATCCTTAACACAAAGACCTGGCCTGGCCCTTTGGTTTAAAAGCAGGCTGGTGTTGTGTTATACAGCACAGCTTGGAAGCACTGCCTGAAAAAAACCTGGACACAAAACCTGTGGTTTTCCAGCCGACTCTCTGAACACAGGGCAAAAAAGTCTGCTCAACAGCATTGATCGGGCGAACGAAGACCCCCCATTTTTTCCATCACAGTGAATAACCTTCAATGGTACTAAGGTAAGGTGTAGACTGCCCAAGAGTAAAAGTTTATTTCACCCAAAACTGAAAAATAAAGTCAGAAGTAGAAAAAAGGCCTTATTCAATACATGAATAGTAAGTGGGCTTGTTAATGAGAATAAGGCAAAAATAAGGCAACAGCTTTCTGCAGCAAAGGAAACAAATGAAACCCTTTAAGCAAAAACAAAGCTCCTTCTGTCGATGACTTAGAAACTGTCTGTGCAATACTGTGCTGCAGGAAGTTGTATTGTATACTGTTATCAGGAGGGTGAGGAAAAGGCAGACTGGGTGGTCATGAGTTCATCCTACAATAAGTCCCAGATCATTTGTCTCCAGACTTAAACCTCACAGAGCTGGTGTGAGATTAACTGAGCAATCTGTGAGTGCAACACTTTTGTGGGAACTTGTGCAACAGGATGATCTTTTATGAACAACAGTGAAACCCTAAAAAAAACAAGTTCAACAAGAGGATTTCTTAATATCTTTCTTTGTTTGTTTTTTTTAAATCTCTCAATTAGTTCAAGTCTTTCATTTTAGGAACACTGAGAAAGTATGGACATTTGAATAACAGCTGGGAAAGTTTTTTCAAATAGGACTTCTTCCAGCCGTGTAACTTACTCTACAGCTGCAAATACCGATTCCCTTCCTCGCCTGCTCTGTTAAAACAGACCAACTGTCAGCCTGCATTATGCTTTAGCAACCGATTCTCTGTTGTTAACTGAATCTCAATTTGTTTCCAGCTGCATCCTTCATTGACCGTGTCTCTCAGACGCCGATTTGATTTCCCCTGAGGGCCCCGATAAGGATAAAATATTGGGGATGATAAAGAAAATTCAAGCAGGTAACGGGTAAAGAAAATGTGAGTTATAGGTCCATAGGACGGCAAGTGAGGGCCCATTGTCCTGTGATAATACACACATATGTGTCACAAACTTAGAAAGGCTGGTTAAAGGTTTAGAGGAGATGCATGCGAACAAATGGAGTCTAAATCTGTCCACTAAAATCGCTGCCTACAGCCAAATGGGCAATTAAGGTTTTTTATGTTGAAACCTAAAGAGTTCTCATGAGATTAATAATACAACATGAGGTGAATTTATAACAGAGGTGAGTAAAAACTGATAAAATGGAGCTAGAAAACTGGAGCATGAAAAAAAGGTTATTTGTCCACCTCACAAATTCAGCCTCCATTAATAACTCATGTTTGAATTCAAACTATTTAAAAGTGTTTCATTCTAATTAACATTGGATATCGCTAAAGGGGAATAATGATCATACCCTACCTGGCGTAGCATATTGTTGATCTCTGGAAAAATCAATGCCGGCACCAATCAGTGTCATGATCTTCTCGATCTGAGGACAAAGATAAAAGAGAGAAAGAAATAAGAAGCTGCAGAAGCCGACACAATTTAACCTCCACCTCTCACCAACAAAATGCAGAAACCTCCCCATGCCTTAAACAATACACCACCAAATACAGTCACTCTGCAAAAGCAGTGTTGAACTTCATTGAGAGAAGAGTCAGTTTTATGAAGACACATAAAGTGTATTTGAAGGGCATCTTGAGCAGCTGCACTATGGCTGCATGGTTGCATTTATGCCTCGTTTATTGCCACAGTATTACAGTGACTTACACAGTCTTATATTGGAGGAGTAACTGACACCGGGCTGCAGGTATAGCAGCATCTCAACTGCTGCCTGCAGCCAAAGCAATAATGATTTACACTGACACTCGCTGGTCTCACCATCCGGCATCAGGAATTACAAAGCAAAAGGTTTGTCAGGGCGATAAAAAAAGAGAGAGAAGGTGTGACAGTGTCAAAAAATGTTAAAGAAACGAGGTCAGGTTAAACTATGACTATAATACAAAGCACAAAAAGAGTTTAATTCATAGAAGCTACAGAAAAAAAACTACAAACTAAAACTGAAAAGGCCCAGGCCAAGAGTCCCATGTTACCTTACAACAGTTTCATGCATTTCCACAGAATGCATGAGAGCATCACTAGAGTGTTGTCTCCCAGCTTAGCCCTTGATATCAACATGCCATACACATGCACAAATGCAGATGCAACATATCACAATAGTGTTTACTTAGAATGCGTTCATAAGGGCACCGCAGCAGCATTGGGTCATTGAGCTGCAATATTACACCTGTCACAGCACAGAAACATGGCTCACGCCCTTTCCACCAGTCCAGGGTTGAGTATGCAAAGACTATGGGAGTGCAGAAAATGAAAAGGTAGAAACTGACAGCGCTGCTATCACACCTGTCAGGTAATGTCGCTCCAACTCTTTTATAAACTTGAGTGAATTGCTATTTTTTATGCCTTTTTAGAAATGTTTTAACTGAAAGCAATCCCTGATGACTGAGTATAAGTCCTGCCTGCTCCTCTAAAAGCCCCAGACAGGTTATTGGTGTAGTCTACATGTGTAAGGGTCCTCTCATCATCAATCCGTTTAGTCGTGAAATAGAAGAGAAATGTCTGTCAGACTGATGCATCTTTTCAAATGTGCTGCTGTTAGACTGGATAGTTAATAGAACCTTAAACTCCTCGACTTGGATGGAAGAAGAAATGAATAATCACTGAGATTATGTCATTCCACCGGAGTTCATTAAGCCCAAAGGAATCCCATCTACCTCTACCAAGAACTCCCCCGGAAGAGGACAGATCCAAACCCCAAAAGGACCAGGAAATGATTTTATGAAGATGGACTTCTTACGCTGTCAAAGGAATTAGGTCTTCGTTGTTTTGTGGTGGGACAGGCCGTCGGTGTCTGCTGAGAGAGAATTCAGGGTTTTGTTTTGTCCCAGGTCTGTAAACTGTGCCAGTAATCCACCAGCAGAGTTGTTTTAACTTTCCTGGTTGATATAAAGATCCTTTACACGGTTGATCCTGAAAGACTTATTTAAATAGACAACTGTACAATGCGATTAAATTATTGAATAATTACTGAGGTTGAAGAAAGTTTTGGAACGAAAGAGTCAAAAAAACAAAACATGTAGCATCAATGAACCTGAGGACCACACTCTGGACTACAGCGTACAGAATAATACATCGCTCTTATTTCAAAACTTTCTATCTTTAAAGATATTTTTCAGGGCATTTCGCCTTTATTGATGAGACAGTGCAAGTGTGAAAGTGGGAGAGAGAATGAGGGTAAAGGGCTGAGTCGGAAATCGAACCTGCGGCTGCTGCAGGAAGACTCCGTATGCAGGGCGCACACAGGCACCTCTAGTTATTTTCACATTCAACATGAATCCTCAGCACAGAATAAAGAACGATGATATGAGGTCTGATCATTTTAAATTCAATTCATCTGCCCGATGCCACTTCTCCATACTGTCGATAAGAGACCATATGGTGGGGAACTCAAACGCACTCAACAAATAACCTCCATCCATCAGCAGCTCACGATCACTTCAAGAACTTTGGTTGTGAATTGGCAGAATTTCTTGTACTGGAGCTATAGACCCCAATGAGTCAGCAAAACAGGTTGCTGTTTGTTCTGTGTGTGTGTGTGTGTGTGTGTGTGTGTGTGTGTGTGTGACCAGCACTTTTAAAGCTGCATTAGTCACACTGTTATATGTCATTTGTTTATTCGGCATAGTAAACACAACGAATAAAAAGCACTAGTTTAACTGAGGGATATGATCTATTATTTCTTGGCTTTGCTTTAAGGAAACAGTCAACACCAGGAAGTCACTGCTACTGGCCACGAAATCATCAGTCACACAACCCCCTGTGGTTTTTCTAGACATGAGATAAAATCTGTTAATTAAAGCTTCGCCCCTGAAATAGTCCACTGAGGCGTCATACTTATATTTAAACATATTTACTGTTTGAGGGAGGTATTGACCTTCTAACTCTCGGCAAGTAAACAAGTGTATTCCCGACTATTCAGTCAAGAATATTCCTTTTCTCAGTACAAAGAGCTGAAACAATAAAAATAGCACGAACAAAGTGACCTATCTCTCGCTGCAATGAGGTAACTCAGTTGTAAATGAGAGACGTAAAAGAGAAAAATATCCTGCGTGTTCATTGGCTATCGCTCGTGTGCAGCTGGGCAAGGATATCGATTTAATAATAAATACAAATCAGAGAAATCTTAATGTGACGTGTGCATTTAAGATAACCAACATTTTTAGGCTGTCAGCAAAGCCAATTATTAAGCTGCTGATGAACAGAGCTCTGCGAAATCACGCTCACTCACACAGCTATTGTAAGTCCTGAGATAAGGAGTGCAGGGTAATGCTGGTGTCTCATAAAGTGGTGGAGGTCTGTACTGAAGGGAGGATAATGCTCCTGTCAGGGGCATCACTGCAATGAGCAGAGTGGTACCAACATGTCCTACAATACTGAAGCAGGGGCTGTAATAATCTGTTCTCCTGATTGTCACATCTGCAACAACCTCAGGGTGCCTTTCTGAACGCCTCGAGCTGCCATGCATAAGAACAAAGAGGAGAGTGGTCGCATTTTAAACACGCTCACGCTGCAGGTAAGGTCAGTGTATCGAGCTTTGGCATTTAAACGCAATGCAAATGAATGTGGATCGTAGACTGTGTATAAAGATGGATGATGTGACAGCTCCCAAAAAAATGACACCACTTTATTGTCCCTCTTGGTTGGGCTATAGTTTAGGTTATTAATCCCACCTCCTCCATGTTAGTGGATGGGACATGGACCAAACTCAACTTCCATTTTTCTTGTAACCTTGGTTTTAATTATTTATTTGATGCCATAAAGAGGGAAACATCATGACTGACAGAGACTGAGCTGCAATCAGTGGGACCTCGATACCTTGGCTCCACAACACTATCACTGCTGCATAGATGTAGCTCTAAATTATGGCTGTGGGTGAGTCTATGGTGTGGATGCAATAACAAAAAACAGAGCTGCACAGTCTTGCTGTGTTGGCTTCGCTTGTCCACTATAATGGAAAAGGGAATTCAGCTGGGCCAGTGAGATTCAGAAGCAGCTACCGTGACAGGCAGGTGTGATACACAGTCGTGTTGGAGCTAGGTAAATATATCCTATCAGGGGACACAGCCCTGTGATTTCCTCAAGGTAAAACACATCCACAACAAGAGAAAGCCTCTGAGTGTCATGGCCGAGGACCGAGGAGCCGTGAGAATGAATAGAGGAGCGAGGGAGAGGAATGTGTTTTTGTGCTGCAGGATGGAATCAATGCAGGGAAGTAAGATGGAGAGGCGTCCATTGTGAGGGGGGCTCACTAGAACAAGGGGAAACAAGGAGGGTCAGAAGTCAGCAGCAGGGTGGAGGTCAACAGCTGAAGAGCCAGCAGTGATGAAAGTTAGTCAGAGTGAGATTAAAGACACACAGACCCATTTATCATGCTTCTCACAGCAGGCCTTCTGCACTGCCATGACACCGGAGAAAAACTTGACTGCTATTTTACCGGTATTTGAAAGCATAGCTTTTTTCCATTAACAGCCTTGACAAACTGGAACAATACGCAACTGAGGCGCAGAAAGGAGGGCAGTGGGAGAGCTAAGCTAAAGGACGCCTTGTTAGTGCCTGTGCAGGGGGAAACAAAAAGCTGCTGCAGAGAAAGTGTGCTCGCACCACCGGCCTCAAATTGGCCAGCTGGCACCAAAACAAGCGTTGGAATTAAAACTGTTGACCAGTTAATGGCATCAAGGGTAACACAAACACACCATCATCTAAAAGGAGGTGCCAACATCTCAGTGCCACATTGGGACAAAGCAGTGTCAGCAGTGCCATTAACATCCTCCTGAAATAGCGCAACATCACGCTTGTGCTTTTAGGAGCAATGTCCCTCACAAACAACTCCAAAACTTTGTCTCCTCATCCCTCAAAGGACGTCAGAATATAGATTTTCCAATAAGTTAAAATTCTTCATTCAACTTAGAGCGGAGAAGGCTACAGACTCTCTCCACAGACTAGAGGTCTGAGCCCCCTGTGGCCGTCCTGTGCTGGCAGTACCAAGCCATGACCCACACCAACAGGCAAGTCAACTTCATGAGTGCTCCCCACAACAAACCACAAGGCCTCACACAGAGTAAAATCTACCACAAGTCCACAACGAGGTTCTGAACATTACAACACAAAACAAAAAAAACAAAGAAATGTTGCATGAACTGTGGCAGTAAAGAAAACACTCATAAATTAGACAACAAAGGCTTCAATTAGCACATAATCAAACTGTCTTTATAAGAAATATAATATCCACAGAAAGGCTAGAAAGCATCAATTCTTTTTTCATTTAATTGATTCAGTGCAGGTAGACAAGATTAATGAGCCTCCAGTGAAGCTGCTGCCTTTAAGGGAATCAATACTCACAAAAGCTGGTTTCATAGTGACTACTGGATCTGTGGAGTGCGAATGGCAAATGAGGTTAGAAGAGAAGTGGGGCTGCGGATGACGGGCAGCCCTCTCCTTCTGTGTCCGTCTACAGCCGTCTGTTTCCCTTTCTCTCCTCCCATTCGTGGAGCTCAGTTTGCTGGCCCACACAATGTGCCCCCTGGATTGTCATCTCAAGTCTGATTCCAAGGACCAAGACCAACCCACATTAGCATGCGCTTTACACACCAGCACGCACACGCACACGCACACACACACACACACTCAGAGCTCCTTAAATGGAGAGATGCATAGGCCAAGACCTCATGCAAGTCAAATCTCCTTGTCTTGAAACCAGAGGCAGAGTATCCGAGGGTGTAGCTCAAGCGGAGAGGGGGGGTGGAGTGAGACGGATATAGAAAAAGAGAAGATGAAGTGAGAACTGGAATATTTAGAGTGAAGATTAAAAGAAAAAAAAGATGTTCTTTGAAAAGAATGTGTGCATGCGTCAGGGGTTGGGTTCGGTAACGTTCTGGGACTCCTTGGGCCAAATGCTGTCATACAGCTCAGTAGAGTGTTGCAGAGCAGTCATTCGTGACAGGCAAGATGGCTGCCACACAGAGAGCGGCTGCAGATGGAGTGATATGGGCCGAAGAGAAGTTGGAGAGAGCAAATAGAGAAAGGGAGTTTTCAATTTCCAGTGGACAACTCCTCTAACATCATTAAAGAGAGTGCAGGCTGGGTTACGCCCAATCAAACTTTAACTACTTTCCCCACACACTCCGCTCATTTGCTATGCACTTTATGTCGCCAGTGTGAATATTTCCATTTCAAGCGAATGCAGGCTTATTTTCTGAAAGGAGAGGAAGAACGATCCGGGGCTCTCGTCTCTCTCGCCTCTTGCATTCAGGCATCTGAATCACTATTCAAGTGAGAAGAAATAGGCATCCGGGTTCATTAATATTAACTACATCCCCTAAATTGCACAAAAGAGATTGCCTCGTCAAAAACGTCAAATCTCATTTGGGAAAATAAGTGTCAACACGCACCCCATCATGGAATCATTAGAAAAGGTGGAGTTAACCACAGGAAACTGCTTCTTCTTCGTATCCTCTCTGAGGCAGCAGGGCTCACATTTTTTTCTCTGCAGCTTAGGGCTGCTGCTTTTAAAATTCAGTAAAGCTTTCTTGCATAAGATGTGAGATGTGTTCACACACAAATACAGTCTGTACCCAGTGTGACAGAGAACATGACAAGGGACCTGCATATACTGTTACTGATATCCATCAGAGGCTCAGTTTCTGTTTCACATTTTATTCTGCAGTAGTTTTTTTAGACATCAACTAACTGCATTGAGTCATTTGTTATTATGATCTTAAAAAAATCTTATTTTATAGCCAACAGACTGGAGAGTAAATAAGATGCACTCCCATGGGATGAATGAATAATTAAGGGTGAATTGTGGTCCTCTATGCCAGCAGCCTACTTTAAGATTTCAAACACGCCTTTGAGCATTCTGTTGAACTTCAAGCTGGTCAGTTCACTGGGTAACATACGCCAGTATGGTGCATACAGCAAATGAGGCCACTGCCTGACATGAATCTCCATTTCCCTGATGAGAGCTTCCTCAGTAAGAAGCCAATAAAACAGCTTGTTCTCCAAGAGGACAGAGATACCTGCTGTTCGGCCTCTTCCTCTACAGACATTCTCTTTAACAACCAGATCAATTCTCATGCTCATCAGTGCACAAGCACCAGGGAGAAGACAACACACCAGCACCAGGATTTTTTTACTGGCTGCTGAGAGCAACAGGGAAGAGCAGCAATCTCCAATAACAAAGGAATGTCATGGCTGCATTACTGCTGTCACGCTCACCGAGGCCACGTCCCTCAGGTGCAGTCTGAGGAGGTGAGGTGTTCGTTAAACTGGGTAACTTGACTGCACAGTGCCACTGACCACAGAGTGTGAGAGGGGAAATAAAAGATTCAGGCTCTCAAGATGTTCCCTTCACTTGACCTTCTACTCCACTGGACCATAATGTTCTGCAGAGGGAGGGCGATGTCTGGGATAAAGTCTCTATATCATCAATAAAATGATCAATAACTTAATAATATTACACTATTCATTTTTGATTTAAATATGTAAGTACTCCTGATAGAGCTGGAGCGATAAAGCAATCAGGATGATGTTAACTCAAAGCTAACAGGTCTGACATGTTGATTTTATATAATTGTAAAATGTGCTGTTTGGTATTTATCACATTTATTTGAAAAACAAATCCAAGGGATGAGTCTCAAGATGTTTAAATTGTACGCCTATGAAACAAACAGTCACTACTGGTCATTGTGGGTGGGTAATTTGAAAGAAGCATGCGATCAGCAGACTATGCCACTCATCTCGACACATTTCTGTATAAATGATAGTTAACAGTTATTGCAAAACAAAAGTTGCAACCACAAATAGTTTCATGAAAATCTGAACAACTATTATGTTAAAATCTAAAATATTGCTAACAGTATCTACCTCAAGAATCCAGAAATGCTCAGGCTTCCATTTGTGACACGTGTGGTATAAATAATGAATCACATTATTGAGGATTCATTGATCTCATTGAGCCTCTAGTTGCAGTCATAAGTACTACAAACAAACAGAATGTAGAGAAGCACATTGCAACAGCATGCAGGAATGTCGTGATGATTACAGTAAGGCTCCTGTTGGCTAAAATTGAAAGGCTTAAGAAATCTTAACAAGTAAACAGGTCAAACTGTGGTGATGCTAAGTGTTTCACAATACAATGGAGCTGAGGTGTTTACCATAACAGTCAAATACTATAAATTAATTTCTCTGTGAGTGTTTACTTGGCAGACGTGTGAGTTAAAGTTATGCTGTTGATGAGGGCTGAAGTAAATCAAAAACACCTTCGTTGTGCTGCTCTCAGAGACCAACTTACATACACTGACTGAACACAGCAAAGGATGAGTCATGCAGCCGAGGTTCTGTGTTTTACCCTCGGGCCAGAAAGGTGTTCTGAACTTTTGAACTCTCCTTTGTATATTAACTTCTCTCCATCTGAGCGTTGATGGGACCATTTCCAGACAGAACAATTATCCGGGGTCGATTTGCTGTTGTGCATAAAAGTGCTTCAAAGAAACTCCTCAATTACAGCCTCCTTGTTGTGGACTGGAATACTGCATCACTAACAAACAGCTGCAGCAGCAACATCCACATCTGGCTCAGTTCATGACAGTCACACGCTAACTATAGGCATGAGTAAATTAGCACATTTAAGAAGCAAGCACATGTCTACAGTGGAGGCCAGTATTGCAAAAACACTGCAAAAACAATAAGTGTGTAATTCAGGTGTGGTTGTGTGGTGTGTCGGCCCAAACACGATTGGACCAGAAAACACAAATCTCACATATGACATCACATTTGTGCAATTGGCAAAGGCTTCTCTCTGGGGGAGGGACAACAATAAAGTTTCAGTACAGAAGCACGATAACACATCGCAAACTAATATTTGCATCAGTGGTGCAAGTCAACAACAAAGTTTTATAGATGTTTTTTGTATTTCATTGAATTCTCCTCCACAGACTCACATCTACAACTCAGACCTGCCCTGCCCACTATAGAACCACCTCCACTCAGACCGTCTGAAAACAAACCACGGCCCACAGAAGCCGAGACATCGACCTCAGAGTCTCTACCATCTCTTCTCACCGAGGCCAATCTGAAAGGGCCGTGTAAAGAAACACTAGGCAGCAATACGATCTCCTCACTGTGGGGAGAAAAAAGCATCAGGGCTCATGATCAGTTCTGGATGGTCTGGCATCAAAACTGCAACGTGTAAGTTATCTCTCCTCAACTGTCCTGCACTGCGATTGGAGTGAAGGGAAATTGTAAGATATAAAAAAAAAGAGTATGTTTTCAATAGAGCAGAACACAAACAATACAAAGGAACATTAGTGAGACAACAGTGGATACGCTAGATGAGGGTGGATTACATTAGAACTTAACTGAGAGGCTTAGAGGTAATCATTAATCTTGCCAACTGTAAGAGGATTGTTGAAAGAAATGGTGAAAGAGCATGAAGAGGAAACTATGTGTACGCTTATATGACTGCATATACCTCTGCTCACTCGTTGTGATATATATGTTCTATTATTCACAGCCCATACATGTCATTATTACCTCCGCCGAGCAGGCTGTGCTTTCACCCCTTCTTTGTTTGGTAGAAGGGTTACGAAAAAACCACCTGATGGATTTCCACGAAACAGGGTGGGAGGATGGAATTTTGCCTTGATTGAGACAAAAGCGCCAATCCATGATTTTCTGAAATCACATCTTGAGATGTTTTTGACTGTTTATTTTGACATTTCCATAATTAATGGGCCCCAGAATTGGTGGAATTTGGTGCAGCTTGATAGAATTTGAGGGAACGTTTGGGCCTCAGCGGAGATATGTGCCATTCTACTCATTTAAAAGAATTATATTGAAATGCTATGATGCTTTATATCGTTATTTTTAAATGATCCCATTTTTGCTTAGTGATGTAGTTTGTGTGTTGTGTTTGTACGACTGGTCGTCCATCTGAACTGAGACTCAAGGTGGAGTCTCAAGCCTGAGGGGAGACGGATCAGCAGCCTGTGCGTTCTCTCTGAATCTCAATTTCTAAATCTCTGTCTCTTGTCTTGGTCTGTGGTTTTATCTCCATCCCCTCTCGCTGCATGTGGCTCTACTCAGCTCTTTATCTTCATCCCAGACAAAGCACTTAGGGGCTAAATGGAAGGCTGTTTGCTAAACAAGACAATATTGAGGACAAAAGTTCATCATTTTATTAAACATTTCTGTTTTAATTAAGAGATTTCTGTGCGACATTAGCAGTAAATATATTTTTTAAGAAACAAACTGTACTAATATGGTTTCATGAACCGGTGCTAACACACTTTCCAACACAGTCACTGTGCTCGCCGATGGTTTGTGTTCAAGACAAGGTGAAGCTCAAATTCCACAGCGTCCCCCTCTGGACAACAGGTGGGCTTTGTGTTGACAGAGTTCACTACAGTCAACAGAGTTCTCCTTTTCATTCATGAGCGTTTCAGTTGTGAACTTGTGGCTCCAGCGTAAACACAAGCTGAGTCAGGACTAACAACTGAAGCTTTGTCTTTTTTTTTTTTTTTTT